AAGTTTCAACCACACCAAATAAACCCTAAATTATGAAGCTAAATAGACCTTAAACTAAGGAGCATTAAAAATTTTAAACTAGTAGTAGAAGTAGAAGCCAAGAGTACTAATAAAGCTAACTAAACTAAAGTTGTCAAAAATGTTAAAGTGCAACAAAAATGTAAAACTTATCTATTGGTATGAAACTAAAACTCTAAAGGCTAGAACTATCAACTAAGATTGTGACAAAAATAAAAAGAACACTATAAAAAATGTAAAGCATGTTAGCACATAAGCTAAAGAACTATATAAGACTACTACAAAAACAAGCCTTATCATAAAAGACAACTATTAAAGTAACAGAAATCAATATAGGAGTTGTATTACTTGAAAGAAATTACAAAGAGTCATTGCATAAGCTATTTATGAAATAAAGGAAGCAAGCTAAGTGGTAGATAGGTAGACTAAGACAAATGTATGGTAAATTCTTAAAATGTATTGAAGTTAGTGCACATCTAAATGTAAAACTAATAGTGTTGTTGAGAGGAGTAGGCCTCAAAGTAGAATTAAAGTGAGCTTTGTTGAACTAGCTTTGGGGTAATACATATTGTAAAGAGAGTCGATAAGAAGGCTAGCTTTTGTAAAATGTTTGTTGAACTAGTGTCTAGTTAAGACATTTTGTATTGAAGAATATGATGAGAAGGGCAAGGCTGTTGAACTTAGCTTTTTTGCGTCTTGTATTTATATGTAGACTTGAATTGAATTTGGTTACTAGAACCTCGATCTTCTTCAACCATTTTGACTTCATGCTTAGACTAGAACAACCCTCATCTCACTTGACTCCTTTAGCCCAATAGACTCCTACTAAGACATTTTTGCCACGTGCCCAAATGTGATCTCCCAAAATTTCTAAGTTTAGCTTTGTCCTTAATTCTCTATTGACTTGTTCATTCTTTGAATCACTTCTATGACTCCATAAACTATTGAATCTCTATAAAATCTTAAAAACAAGATATTAACATCATATGGATGTTGAAAAATTTGTCCAAAATTGATTTGATTGATGACTACTCTAAATTTGAATTTCTAGACACAATAACTTCTACTGTTGAAAAGAGCTAGATAAAAAGCCTATTATTGCCTTAACAACTCTTTTGACCTAGGTCAAAGGGCCTTCAAAACCTTAAGCCCAAGTTTTTATATACCATTCATACTCTTTTTTCACTATGAGATCAAGACATTACAATATGTCCCACTCAAACACTTGACATGCTCGATGAGCCCACTCATTTCAATCTAAATAGGCAAACAATAACAAAGATCCATCCTAAGTATTGTAAGTTTTTAAAGGCTAAAGCTCAACCATGGTGGCCACCACCAACTCCAAACCCCTACTTAAACAATGGGGGACTCCTTTGATGGCTTATATTAAGGTCTAATACCAATTGAAACAACCTCACACTTCTAGGGGAAACTACTCTAGTACCAATTGAACCAACTTTGAGCAAAATTCATTATTGGCTTAACTGCCTTTTAGGCCTAGATTTGTGAGCTCTAGAGGCTCAAATTAAGTCACAAAAGTTATTAATCTTCAAAATTATTTACCACTTATGATCATATTCTTCCTTTGATGTGAGATTTGGGCATTAGAGCTAAGGAAGTTCTACCAATTTCAGTTTATGTTTCATCATCTTAATGATAATCTATCACCTGGCTTTGACATGTTACATGGTGACTTGTTGCTAAGCCTTACTAAACCCTAGAAGATTGCTATTTCTTGAATTAAACTCTAAAAACTTAGAAAATTGATACATTGTTACTTGAAAGACAAAACCACTCCTGTTTTATGACACAACTAAATAAATTTATAAATTTTTGAAGTTTTACGTGACATGTGAGAAAATTTCACACCAAAAAACAAACACTTGATGCATTTTCATAAATTTACTACTAATGATTTAAACAAACCCATTGTATAGAAAATTCCCCCCCTTTTTTTTTTTATGGAAACTTAAAACGAGACTCAACTTTACTATCTTCTAATCAGATACAAACCTAGAATTTACCACACTAGAAATGAAGGGCAAAACATGCAAGTCAACCCCTCATCTTTACAAGCAATGGCAGATTACCCCCTTCAACCTAATTCACACACAAACTCCCTCTCAAACTTATTGTTAGTGGCAGAATGGCCCTTATCTAACGTATTATGTCTACAATCTGTGCAATCCTAACATTGAGCTATTTTTGCTGGGACCCATGTATGATATGGTGAAGAGTGAAGAGCTAAACATGCTGGATGTTAAGGTGGTTATTAATTTGATGACATGGCAAGTGTTTTTTCATTTTTTTTTTCATACGAATTTCTCCTTTTTCTTTTCTTTCCTTTTTTTTCCCTCCCTTTGTCAACCATTTTCATTCACTCCTTCTCTCTTTCTTCTTGAAGATCTTGCAACTTTTTAAGTTCATAATGGGTTACATAAGAAAGTAATAAAAAAGGTTAATTAGAGTTAAGCCTGTATTTAATAGTTTGTAAGGATAGATATGTAAAAGATGTTAGTTTTAACTCAAAATATACAAGTTTTGTATTTTCTATTGGTTTATAGTTAACGATTTATTTTATTCATAAATGCTCTCATTGAACCAATTGAAGATTTGTGTCAATTTTTTTCATTTTGATAAGTCAAGGATAGGAAATTAGAATCTTTTTAGGTTATATCCACCAAGTGTTTGGTGAATTGACTAAGTAGGTTGTGTTGGGTTTATTCTATATCTTTAAATGAAAATGTAATGGGTTGAGATACCCTTGTATATCTTTAATAAAAAAAATTTTAAAGATTAAAAAGAAGTGTTGATGTTTTTCCTTAATGAGAAATTTGTATTTAATATTTAAGAATTTACAATTAATTTTATCAAAATTTAAATTTTAAAACAATAATCATTGAAATTCATAAATTCCTTCAGAATCCTCTAAATTTATGTACTTTGAGTTGAAACTAACCTTCTCTACATCTATGTCCTTGCAAACTACAGCTAAAACCAATTTTTAGCCCCTCACCTTACAAAATTGGTAGGTTTTAGCCCATAACTTTATCATATGACACTATTAGCCTTTTACCTTACAAATTTGGTAGGTTTTAACCCCTCACCTTACAAAATTGATAGGTTTTAGCCTCTGACCTTATATTCGGATACTTTTAATCCCTTATTTATATGAATTGAAGACAATAGCTCTCACTTAACATCAGGCTATAATGTTCTGTTAGCTATGTTAGTTCTGTTAGCTATGTTAGTTTTGTTAGTTGACTGTCAATTCTGTTAGTTGATCGTTAATTCTGTTAGCTGACTGTTAATTCTGTTAACTGACTGTTTGTATCTATTAACATTTCGTTAATGAAACTAACAAACAAAATTGAATTTAAATTTCACGTTTTCTAAAATGAAATGCTAACGGATGTTAACAGTCAGCTAACAGAACTAACAGAATGTTATAACCTAATATTAGGTGAGGGTTATTTTCTTCAATTCGTATAGATGAGGAGCTAAAAATGTTATAATATAAGGTGAGGGATTAAAACCTACCAACTTTATAAGGTAAGGGGCTAAAACCTACCAAATTTGTAAAGTAAAGGGTTAAAAGTGTCATATTATAAGGTGAATGACTAAAACCTACAAATTTTGTAAGGTAAGGAGCTAAATGTTGGTTTTTGCCGCAAACCACTAAGTATAGGCTTAACTCTAATTAACCTTTTTTATTGTTTCCTCTCGCAACCCATTATGAACTTAGAAATTACGAGATCCTAGAGAAAGAAGGGGGAACGCGAGAAGGAAAATTGGCTTATGGGAAAGAATAAGAAAAAAAAAAAAAAAGAGAAAGAGAGAGAGAAGTTTGTACAGAAAAATAAAAAAATAAATAAAAACACTTGCCATGTAATCAAATTAATAACCACCTTAACATCTAGCATGTAAAGCTCTTCATCACATCATCAATGGGTCCCACCAAAAGCTCCCCATCATTAGGGTTGCATGGATTGTTGACGTAATCCATTAGACAAGGGCCATTTTTCCACCAACAATAAGTTTGAGGGTAAGTTTGCATGTGAATTTAATTGAGGGGATAATTTGCTACTGTTCATAAATATGAGGGGTTGATCTGCATGTTTTTGCTAGAAATGAACTAAGAGCAGTGTTAGGGGCGCTCGCCTCTGCACTCTTTGGCCAACACTCCCCTTTCATTGGGCCACGTAAGGTTGTTTAAGCTCTGAAGTGCAACCTCTTGCCAACTAAAATAACATGGCCCAATGAAAGGAGGAGTGTTGGCCGAAGAGTGCAGAAGGCGAGTGCCCCTAGCACTGCTCATGAACAAATGAAGTAGGAAAATAAAAAAAATAAAAAAAATAAAAACAAGGCGACTGTCTTCCTTTCAATCCATTAGTATTTTCTCAGGCAAGACTATTCTTTTTTCTTATAATTTAATTATAGTCTAATTATTATTAAGAAAAAGTATTATGCAATTGTTTTTAATTATACAATATTATTTATGAGATAAAAATTAATTTTTTAATATTAAAATTTTTTTATTTAATAATTTTTATTTTACAATATAACATAATTTAAACAGTAACAAAATTTCTTGCTATAGCGCTCCTCTCGGCTTGTAGAGTGAGCAAACAGTACTCAAACTTGCACATGTGATGGGGGTGATCCTTCACCGCTTAATATTGGTGTCTGATTAGTGGGCTTCACTTTTCTCATCATGAAATCAGGCTTCAGCGACAGATCATCCTCATCATGGTACGCGTAAGCAAACCCACCGTGCCTAGTTAGATCCATCCCTGCCGTCTCATCTTCAGTGGAGATCCTCAGCAACCTCATTTTCTGTAGCACATAAAAAAGTGGGCCCATTGTGGCTGTGACCCACCCTAATATCACCAAAATCTGAATGATCTGGGCCGCTAAAAGTTTCCCTCCGCCGCCCATGAGCAATCCATACGGCCGTTCCGGAAGTCCCGGATACACCTCGTTGACGTACGCCTTGGTTGCAAACAATCCGGTAAACAAAAGTCCCCACGCACCACACCCGCCGTGCAGTTGAGCAGCCTCGAGGGGGTCATCGTACTTTAGCTTCGATGCAAGCATGTTGCACCCAATTAAGACCCAAGCTGCTACAAAGCCACAAATTATTGCAGCCCACGGTTCCACCACAGAGCACCCGGAGGTTATTGCAGCGAATCCCCCCAATAAGCCATTACAGACGTCGACTACATTCCAGTGACCAACAAGCAATCTCTTGCTGAATAAGGTTGTGAGTGCCGCTGTGCTTCCAGCCAATGTCGTGGTGACAGCTGTCCTTCCAATGGCAGTCCATTGACCGTAATAAGTACCACCACCACCGTATCCTTTCATGATGGTTAAGAACGAACCTGGATTAAAGCCATACCAGCCGAACCATAACAGAAACGAACCGAGTACGACTAAGGATGCGCTGTGTCCGCGAAGAGCTACAGACCGACCTGTCTGGTCAAACCGGCCAATCCTCGGGCCTTCAATTAACGCACCCCATAAACCAGCAATGCCTCCCACCATGTGGACCACGCCCGAACCAGCGAAGTCAATCACACCCGATCCGAATAAGAGGTTTTCGGATCGGGTGGCGCTAGCCCAACCATCACCGGACCAGAACCAGTGAGAAACGATTGGATAGACAAACCCTGTGAGGAAGGAAGAGTATATGAGGTAAGCAACGAACTGGGTTCTCTCGGCTATGGAGCCGCTGGTGATACCGGCGGCGGCAATCGCGAAAGCCCACTGGTAAAGGAAGAAACTGTAGTCGGCAGAGGGAGAAGGAAAATCTCTGAGGCCGAAGAAATGGCGGCCGATGAATCCGTTAGATGGGGAGCCAAAGGCGAAGGCGTAGCCGAAGAGGTAGTAGGATAAGCCCCCAGCTGCGGCGTCAAGGACATTGGTAAGCATGATGTTCATGGTGTTCTTGGCACGGACAGAACCAGCACAAAGCATGGCAAAGCCAAGTTGCATGGCGAAGACGAGGTAGGCGGAGAAGAGGAGATAGGTGTTGTTGATGGCGTAAGAAGCATCTGAGAAGGTGTTGGAGATGGTGGAAAAACGGGAGCAAAGGAAGGAGGCAAGTGCAGTGGTGTTGGAGGAGGAGAAGAGGGCGAGGTCCGAGGAGCTACAGGTGATTGAGCCGTCCATTGTTGAGAAGACTGAGTTAGGAAGACAGAAGGTTGAGTGGTGCCGCTTATATAGAGAAAAAATAGGGAAGGTTGCAGAAAATAATACCTCGAAATAGGTGGTTTCATTAAAATAATGACAAAAATGATGTGTGTTAAATTTATTCCAGAAAAAAGTCTTAAGATATCAGGGTTTTAATAAATGAGAAAACAGAAAAACTGAACGCTTGGAAAAAATTGGTAGTACCTTCCAAATGAAACGAAACGGTGTTTTATTTTTCTCCGTTAATTTGCCCATTCTTCTCAAAATAAACCCTAGTCAATTCACGCAGAACACATTCATATTCTCCTCTTCCAATTGATGCACAGCCATGCGGAAATCCTTCTCCTCCTCTCTCAATTATGAGCAAGGGTTCTTCCTGATTCTCCCTCTACGTCGATTCCATCAACATAACAAAGGTAAGGAAACAAAATTCCACTAACCAAAAATAATAAAATTAATTATGAACTCAAATCATCATTTTTCCATTTTTGAGAAAGACAAAAAAAAAAAAAAAAAGGAAAAAATATCAAAATCATAACCAAACAATCACAGACGAGAAAGAAAATATAATGGAATCATACCCATTAAAAAA